TATATATATATCTTTTTATATATTTATATATATAAATATATGTGTATGTATATGTTAAAATATCTGATTTTAGAAATTTCAAAATTGTTTTCTTATTTTTGAAATGGTATGTAGGGTAGATCTTATATATGAATTTTTCCCTTCTGTTAATTGAACTCAATCGGGGTAAGTGTAGGTCTTATAGCATTAAATGGACTTGGTTTTCATGCCTAAAAAATTGGTTGGTTTTGTGCCTCTAAATGGGCTGGTTTCCTGCTTTTAAAAATCGTGAACCCACTTCCTCAAGAAATCACAATTAAAATGTAATGTTTTATGCTTTATAATATGTGGGCTAGATCTCTTTAAAAGGAACTTTTTATTTGCAACTAGGATTTCATTTCACCAACCACCATCAAATTTCTTCTTCCTCTATCCTTCTGTAACTTCTTTGAATCCCCTCAGGGTGACTAAGGTGAGTACCTGACCGTAAACTTCAGGGCCCCGTGGGATTAGTTGAGGTGCGTGCAATCTGGCCCGGACGTCCACGGTTATCAAAAAAAAAAATCCTTTTGCAACTTCTACATGCTTCCCCTCATGGTGATTCTCTTCCATTTTTCTTGCAATGTCCTCTTTTGATACGAAGGATCCGATTCAGATCTCATGTCGGTACCTGTGTCATGTCATACTGACACATATACACTGCCATTTTAGCCGAGTCGGAGAATCACAGCTGATTATAACAGAAATGATTGACACAGCCTATAGCTGATGTGACATAAATCCCTAACCACAGAATCCTACCAAAATATAACAGCAATTCACCCAATTCCTACTGCAAATAAAAAATCGAACAGGAAAAGTAACAAATTTTAGCATCAAATAATCAGTAAGCATGGATGGACAAAATCTAGTAATTATTAGCCTGTGCAACATAATTTAATTTACCAATAACATCTTTTCATTAAAAAAAAATCCGTTGCAAAGAAACTATTTACATCTTTTGCCTACACAGAATGTTCTTATGCATAGGGCGGAGTATCAATTTATCTATATTTTGGGCTTATAAAGGACAAAAATACAAATCTTTTGCTCCCATGCACGCACATACAAATATATACATGTGTATACAAGACCCTTGTAGCATACATGACATAAGAGTATATGTTCACGTCATTTTGTCATTTTAAGAGAACATGTTCTCCTATTTAAACACCACTACTATTTATATCCCTATACAACTTAGAACCTTTGCCCCCGTTTGGCATCCTTTTTTTCCCAGTTTTGAACAGAATTCATTTTGCAACAGGAAGAAGATTGGACACGCCAGGGATGAATTTGACTTGTGTCAGACTACTCATTTCAATTGAATATTACCGTTGCCTTTAATTTCCGATTTTGCCCTCTTTGAAAGTGTAAATTTGCATTTTATTGAAGGCAAAGCAAACAAAAAATTGAAGGGCATTTGTGGGTGTAAATTAATGTGTACTGCAAAGTGTTGAGCTGGTCCATGCAGACCTGCTGTTGTCGGTTAAAAATGACAGGAAATGTACATGGGGCCCACAACTGTAGCAAAATGAATTGGAAAAAAAATAGAAAGAATGGATGCCAAACGGGGGCCTTATATTCTTACTTCATCAAAGTTCTAAGTTGCAATTATCTTGCATTTAGTCTCGTTACCTACAACTAAGCCCATGTTTGGCAGCCATTTTTTTGGAAAAACGTTGTTTTAAATAATTATTTTTTTAAAGAATGCGTGGTTAAAAAGTAGAAAAAAACTTATTTTTACGTATAAAATATTTTATTTTGTGAATGTAAACATGGTTAAATTATCAACACATAATATAAACAAGATACCTCATCCTGGTTATGCCAACCCCAAGTTCAGCAATGACTAAATAAAATAGGAAAAAGGAACTACCGTTTGAAACCTAGATGTAAGCATATTGCAAAACAAAATCATATTACTACCACTCCCTTTAGGCTTCTGATAGCTTCCTCATACACATTCGTACTATTCTTTCTATATATACCTAGAACAAGGTTGATTCCACTGAGACTTCACGTTAATTATTCGAGATTATTAACAAGCAACAAGTTATATTTAAATCTTGACACAGAATAAAAGATTTAAATTAGATTCGTAATCATTGATTCAAGCACAAAAATTATCCAACCTGAGGCAGAGCTAACAATAGGACTATCAGGAGCGCTGATGAAATCCACCAGAAACTTCTCCATAACATCAGCATTATAATCAAGCTTAGGTCTGTCAGAGTATCCAAGACCAGGCCAATCCACAATTCCTAGCACTCCAATTGATACCCCCATTTTTCCCAACAATTTCTTCAGCCACGAGTCTCCATTCCTCAACAGTGCTAACATCAGAAATAGTGGGCACCATCAGAATGTTCTTGGAGGGCTTTTGAGAGCCACCCTTTTCGAGTTTTTCGAAGTTGATGTTTACCAAATTGTCCTTGAATTTCGATTGCCAGGTGCTGGAATTGTTCTTGGAGGGTGATTTAGAAGGGGTAGAGTTGTCAATTGATGTGGTGGCTTTGATTCTGAAACTTTGGGGTTTGAAAATGGGAGGGTTTTATGAATAACGGCTCTGGAGGATTTGAAGGATAAGGAAAAAGATGGTGAATAGAGGTGAAGAATTGCAGAGGCCGCCATTGATGAGTAGCTTCAAGAAATGGAACGAAGAGATTTTGACCGATTCTTATGAATTTTTTTTCTACGATTTCGAATTTTTATGCGGTTAGGTGGCGGATATTTTATTATTATTATTTTTTTTTATTAAACACAAATTTCCATTTAATTTATCTGCTAATTCTAGATTTATTAACTATTAGCTCTGTTTGATTTAAATAAAAATCAAGATTTTAATATATTTTAATAAAAATTGATGAAATATATGATTAAAAATGTGTGAATCCAATAAATTGTCACACTAATTTATCTGATATTTCATTAATTGTAATCTAACATAGTAACATAATCCATAACTAACCTTAATGAGTACATGAACATTCTTTTCGAATAATAAATACTATTGAGTGTGATTCAATTTGTTTAATACTCAAAACATAAGCTATAACCTACTTTCTCTTTTTTCCACTTTTCACAACATGTTTATATATACAACTAAAAAGAAAGGCTTAATAGCACAAAACGTCCTTACATAGTTACGTTTGGCATGTATTGTGCAAAACGTCCTTACGTTTCATTTTTTTTGCATTTTCGCCTATATGTTCAATATTTCCTTGCCCTGAACGTCATTTTCACTGTTTTTCAAGGTAAAATGACCATTATACCCTCCTATATAAATAAAACAAAAAATAAAGAACAATTTGCAATCTTACTCCTAAACTTTTTAAAAAATACAAACGAGTCCAAATAAATTATTAAAATATTAAAAATAATCAAAAATAAAAATAAAAATTGTTTGTCTCCTCTTCTTCTCCTTCCCCCTCCCTCCGCCTCACCACCACCATTTCTTAGAAAAAATGGCAGTTTCCACAGTGTACACAATTCAATATCTCATTTCTACTTGTTCAATCTCAAAACCCACAAAAACCCACTTGGAATTTAACCAAAAACAGCTAGTTTTCTTTAAAAAAAATCACCACCACAACCACCAGAAGAACTACCACCCAATAACATGCTCTGTCGGTGATACGGTAGTGATTGGTTTAGCAGCAGACTCTAGCTGTGGAAATTAAAAATCACTAACAAACAAAAATTTCGAGCCAAAATTTGGGGTTCCTTTCTCTTAAATCTGCCCTCTCGACTTCAAGCTCGGAATCCTAAAATTCAAATATCGACAGTGGACTGGAGAGGAGAGTGAATGTAAATGATGGTACACGCTCCTGCGACCACTGCGATTGCCACACCGGCTTTTTCCCCAACATTCCTCCTGTCGGAGGAGGAGTCCTTCTTTAACCCCACATTACCCATATTTACCTCGTCTTTGCCTACTACATTCGATACAGCAGCCAGTGTCGGTGTCGATGTCGGAGACTTGTTAGGAGAAGAAGAATTGGTTAGCGCTGGAGAGGGATCTGAAGGTACAGGCGCATGAGGAAAGGCAAATGAGGGGGAAGGAGCAGGAGATGGTGTTTCTGGAGATAGAATTGGCAGCTGCGAGAGGACGTTGACTGGTGAATGTGGAGATGGACTGTGGGAATTTCCCGGTGGATCTGCAGATAACACTGGGTTTGTTTACTGATAATTAAGTAGGGAAAAAATGGAAGCTAAATGAAAGTTGGCGGCGACGGCGGTGGTGGAGAAGGAGGAGGAGAAGAGAGAATGAGTTTTTTTGTTATTTTTAATATTTTAATAATTTATTTGGACTCGTTTGTACTTTTTAAAAAGTTTAGGAGTAAGATTGCAAATTGTTCTTTATTATTATTTTTTATTTATATAGGAGGGTATAATGGTCATTTACCTTGGAAAACAGTGAAAAGGACGTTCAGCGTAAGGAAATGTTGAACATAAGGGCAAAAGTGCAAAAAAATAAAAAGTAAGGACGTTTTACACAATACATGCCAAACGTATGGACGATTTGTGCTATTAAGCCTAAAAAGAAATATGTAAACCTTATTTGCATTTTGGTGTATTTGTTGAAACAATCTACAGTGTCCGTTGTGTAGTACTCCCTATCTATAATTGAAAGTATGTTTGATCCTCATTTTTTTAAAATTTATTTTTTCAAAATTCATTTTCAACCATATATTCTCTGATAAAACAATTTTACACGTAAGTAGACAAGATTCAATGTCCATGAAAAGTTGTGTTCNAGCCAGAAAGAGACCCAAATCCACAACAATGGCAACCTTCCAGAAACGAGGTCTTCATCAACCATCAATTCACATAAGCCCTTCACCATCACAGTGAGCGAAGATCCAAAGTAACCAGAAGAATCACCGCACAAACCAAAAACTCCACCAGCCTACCAAACCACCTCCAACCAAACCAGACCACAACACAAATACACCACCACCCGACTCAACCCAACAACAACCACACACCGTGAACACCCCCAATCAACACCCAAAAAGACCCCGACACCACACTACCGATCACCCACCCAGCCACCGCTGCAACAGCAACTAAAACGGCTCGCCGGCAAAAGCCCCAACCAGCAGCAGCGCCCCTGCCGATTCCGACTGCCTGAGAGACAACGACCAACGCCCGCCGCTCCACACCAGCCTAGCCTCGCTCGCCCCTCTCTTCGACCAAAACCCACACAAACGCCACCACCACCAGTGTTTGCCGGCCTCACCACCACCCCGCCCACATCGCCACCAACAAAGCAGCAAACCACAAGCAAAACAACAAAAAAGAACAGAGAGAGAGGAAAGGGAAAGAAGAGGGGGAGCCTAAGCTCCCACCTCCCCGACGAACGTCCAGAGAAATGAGAGACCAAGAACGATCCTTCACCGAAGGAAGGGGAGAAAACTCCACGGAAGGAGGAAGAAAACTCCACCACGCTAGAGAGACGTTGCATTAACAAGTAAATTTCTTTAATCTTATGTATAATCATTGTATCATACATAAAATGCTACATTGCATACACATTATTAAGATTCTGTTTGAATCTCCATTTTTCTTTTTTTTTTTTCTTTTTTACCAAAAATGTATTTTAGAATAGTGATTTGTTGGAGAATGTGTGATTAAAAAATAAGGAAAATTTTGAATTTATGTGCAATATTATTTTATTGAAAAATGTGTAGTTCAAAATAAAAGAGAAAAATGTATTTTGAAAACAGTGAGAACCAAACAAGTGCTAAGAATATACACTATTGCGCTAAAAATTTGCTAGTAGATATTATCGTAAAAAAGTAATAAGTGGATGTGAGTTCAAGTATCGATCATATGACAGCTAGTATTTAATCCAATTCGAATTAAATTTAACTTTAACCGAATAGCAGAGTCACATAAATTGATTGTTTATATTAACAAAATATTTTTTTAACTAATCTAACTATTCCAATTTACTTGGAAAGAGTGTATGAAATCCAATTAATTGGCAATCACTAGGAATTCGAATCCCTTACATTCATCCATCTTAATATCAATCCAAAATTTAGACAATGCTTATTCGTGCGTGAAGATCAATATTCTTAATTTCAATAATCTCTACTGATAAGAATTAAATTTATCATCATATATAATCCTCTTATATTTATATGAAGGATGCAAATAAGTAAGAATACATTGAATCACAAAAATATTCAAAAAGGTCATACAAAGTATAATGATATATCTCTATACTTTATCGGGCTTTATAACAATTCTTTATCTCAAATATCAATAGAAATTATATTAATCAAGTAATTGAAAATGCATTAAAATCTTAATAATCATTCAAAATCAAATAAATATTGAAGTCAAAATCTTGCAGTTACTATCAAAACTTTAAAACATAATGTTCAACGTTATCCTAATATATACAATTAGTCAAGCATCGTATAATTACAAGAGTAAAAATTAAATTGATACAACAGCACCCAAAATTAAAGCGCGAAAATAAGATGGAAAATAATTTTGAATCATTGAATCTCCTCAATGGCTCATTAGTATCTTCTTCTCCAAACAAAAGCAAAGATGTATAAAATTATATGAAGGGAAACTTGCAGTCACGTGCTAAACTCATTAGTATCTTCATTTAGTTGCGGACTTTGCTCAAACCTTTTATTTGTGCTACCCACGATACAAAACCTTTAAACAACTCGCATCCGGAGTCCAAATTGATAGAAACCATTAGTTTGACCGGTAATTGACCAAAAATCAAAGATCTGACCAAATGTTGACTAATTTTAAAAAGACAAATGGATAACTTTACATTTTTTATATAAAAAATTTAAATAAAAGATTTTTTTTAAAAAAAACCCCTATCATCTTCTTCTCCATCCACCCCACACATACCAACCCCCACTGCCATCTCTTCTAATTACCAAATCAATGGAAACCCAATTGTAGCAATCAATTAACCTAAAAGAAAATAGCCAGGCCACAACCACGGCCACATCCACTCCCATTTCTACACGGGCTTTGCTACAAGTACAGGGCATTTTCACGGGAGTGGTGGGTAGGTAGTTTCACAGGCTAATCACATGCATGGGGTGGGTGCATTTTTTTTCCATTTTTAATACATGTGTGGGGCCCACACTTGCGAGGGGGTGGTAAACCACCTATGAAACTATCCCTGGACTTGGGGATTTATCCTTTCTACACACTTCTTCAGAACCTCTCTCTTTCATTTCTCATTATCCACCCAGAAATCTCATTATTTTCACCTCAAAGCTTCATTTGTAAGCAGTGTTCTAAAATGCGTAATGCGTTGCGAAGCGTCGTGACCGAGAATCAAGAATCATAAGTTTANACAAGTTTAGGCGTGTCAATGCAAAGAAAAAGCGTCATAATGCGTTTCGTATTTTTAAGGCATTAAATATATTTTTATATAAAAAAAATAAATTTTTTAATATATAAAAAAAAAACAGATTTTTTATTAAAAAAAAAAGGGATTAGACGGACTGCGCGCATTAGGCGCGCCTTTGAGTTGGAAAATGCATTTTTCACGTATTTCCCGAATTCGACGCGTTTTGGTCGCGCCTAGACGGCGCATTTTCCCCTTTTTTAGAACAATGTCTATAAGTATCTCTCCTTTTTCTTATCTCTAACTTTTTCTCAATTTTAACATACATTTTGATTCCCCCTTTTCTTGATTTCATTTTATTGACTTAAGTTGAGTTCATCTTAAAAGTTACAGATGGGGAAGCGAGATTACAAAGGAAGAACAAGTGAGTGCTCCTCAAAAGAAGAAAATCTTTGTTGCAGGTGCCACTGGAAGTACTGGGTGGAGCAACTGTTGGCTAAGGGATTTCTGTTAAGGGCGGGCAGGGGCATTTTAAGTTAGAGGGGCAAAATCAAACTCTATATAAATTGAATATTTTGTTCTTGATTTTTGAATTATTCATATTTGATTCAAGACAATATAGATTTACATTTAAAAAATATTTCTTAATTACTATTTTGCTAATAAATTTCATTCATTTGATTTCGAATTGTCATTTTATTAATATTTTGTTCATAACAAGAAAATGCATATTTACGTTTAAAAATCTTATAATGTATTTGATACAAACAATCAATTCAAGTAATCGAAAGGAAAAATATATAACTAATATTCAATATTAATAATCAATCAAATAAACACAATTCGTTAAATTTCTCTGATAAAACAATTTTACACGTAAGTAGACAAGATTCAATGTCCATGAAAAGTTGTGTTCATACCATGTTACGGTATTTTAATTTGCTTTAACAAGTTAAATTTCTTTAATCTTATGTATAATCATTGTATCATACATAAAATGCTACATTGCATACACATTATTAAGATTCTGTTTGAATCTCCATTTTCTTTTTTTTTTTTCCTTTTTTGTCAAAAATGTATTTTAGAATAGTGATTTGATGGAGAATGTGTGATTAAAAAATAAGGAAAATTTTGAATTTATGTGCAATATTATTTTATTGAAAAATGTGTAGTTCAAAATAAAAGAGAAAAATGTATTTTGAAAACAGTGAGAACCAAACAAGTGCTAAGAATATACACTATTGCGCTAAAAATTTGCTAGTAGATATTATCGTAAAAAAGTAATAAGTGGATGTGAGTTCAAGTATCGATCATATGACAGCTAGTATTTAATCCAATTCGAATTAAATTTAACTTTAACCGAATAGCAGAGTCACATAAATTGATTGTTTATATTAACAAAATATTTTTTTAACTAATCTAACTATTCCAATTTACTTGGAAAGAGTGTATGAAATCCAATTAATTGGCAATCACTAGGAATTCGAATCCCTTACATTCATCCATCTTAATATCAATCCAAAATTTAGACAATGCTTATTCGTGCGTGAAGATCAATATTCTTAATTTCAATAATCTCTACCGATAAGAATTAAATTTATCATCATATATAATCCTCTTATATTTATATGAAGGATGCAAATAAGTAAGAATACATTGAATCACAAAAATATTCAAAAAGGTCATACAAAGTATACTGATATAACTCTATACTTTATCGGACTTTATAACAATTCTTTATCTCAAATATCAATAGAAATTATATTAATCAAGTAATTGAAAATGCATTAAAATCTTAATAATCATTCAAAATCAAATAAATATTAAAGTCAAAATCTTGAAGTTACTATCAGAACTTTAAAACATAATGTTCAACGTTATCCAAATATATACAATTAGCCAAGCATCGTATAATTACAAGAGTAAGAATTAAATTGATACAACAACACCCGAAATTAAAGCGCGAAAATAAGATGGAAAATAATTTTGAATCATTGAATCTCCTCAATGGCTCATTAGTATCTTCTTCTCCAAACAAAAGCAAAGATGTATAAAATTATATGAAGGGAAAATTGCAGTCACGTGCTAAACCTTTCATTTAGTTGCGGACTTTGCCCAAACCTTTCATTTGTGCTACCCACGATAAAAAACCTTTAAACAACTCGCATCCGGAGTCCAAATTGACAGAAACCATTAGTTTGACCGGTAATTGACCAAAAATCAAATATCTGACCAAATGTTAACTAATTTTTAAATAGACAAATGGATAACTTTACATTTTTTATATAAAAAATTAAGAGAAAAGAATTTTTTTTTAAAAAAAACCCCCAATCATCTTCTTCTCCATCCACCCCACACATACCAACCCCCACTGCCATCTCTTCTAATTACCAAATCAATGGAAACCCAATTGTAGCAATCAATTAACCTGAAAGAAAATAGCAAGGCCACAGCCATGGCCACATCCACTCCCATTTCTACACGGGCTTTGCTACAAGTACATGGCATTTTCACAGAAGTGGTGGGTGGGTAGTTTCGCAGGCTAATCACATGCAGGGGGTGGGTGCATTTTTTTTCCATTTTTAATACATGCATGGGGCCCACACTTGTGAGGGGGTGGTAAACCACCTATGAAACTATCCATGTACTTGGGGATTTATCCTTTCTACACACTTCTTCAGAACCTCTCTCTTTCACTTCTCATTATCCACCCAGAAATCTCATTATTTTCACCTCAAAGCTTCATCTGTAAGTATCTCTCCTTTTCATGATCTCTAACTTTTTCTCAATTTTAACATACATTTGATTCCCCCTTTTCTTGATTTCCATTTTATTGACTTAAGTTGAGTTCATCTTAAAAGTTACAGATAGGGAAGCGAGATTACAAAGGAAGAACAAGTGAGTGCTCCTCAAAAGAAGAAAATCTTTGTTGCGGGTGCCACTGGAAGTACTGGGTGGAGCAACTGTTGGCTAAGGGATTTCTGTTAAGGGTGGGCAGGGGCATTTTAAGTTGGAGGGCATAATCAAACTCTATATAAATTGAATACTTTGTTCTTGATTTTTGAATTATTTATACTTGACTCAAGACAATGTAGATTTACATTTAAAAAATATTTCTTAATTACTATTTTGCTAATAATTTTCATTCATTTGATTTCGAATGATCATTTTATTAATATTTTGTTCATAACAAGAAAATGTATATTTACGTTTAAAAATCTTATAATGTATTTGATACAAACAATCAATTCAAGTAATCAAAAGGAAAAATATATAACTAATATTCAATACTAATGATCAATCAAATAAACACAATTCATTAAATATAAGTCAAATTGAAAATAATGAGTTCAGACACATTCTATATACGCATTTTGATATGAGAAAATGAAAATTTATGTTCTAATTACTTGAAAATTAGATTGAAAAGTGAAGATTTGTAGTAAATATGATAATTTGTAAAGAAATTATGTAAAAATTTTAAAAAATTAGAAGGGTTAAAATTTTGTTAAAAGGCGTGAGGAAAATAGTAAAATATAGCAAGAGAAAAGAGAAATTCAAATTTAGCCCCCGTTTGATCTACATTATTATCTCATTAAAATTAAAAATATGACTGTCATCCATCATATCAACATTTAAATTCAAATTTTCTATCTCTTGTGTGGGCCCCAATAATGACTATATTTTTCATTTTCATTCCATAATAATTTGGTTCAAATAGGGCCTTATTATGATTTTGCCATTGTTTGGTGGAGATTAAAATCAATTTTTAGTAAATTTTGATAAAAATCAAACAGTTATGGATTTCATGAAATATATTATTTAAATTAATTGTTAATTTTGATTTAGATTAAAATTCAGATTCCAATTGATACCACACATGACTTTATCAAAAAAAATGTCAAAAGTTGACCCCCAAGACCCCCTGGGTCCGCTAGTGAGGCTGGGGTTTGCGATATCAATAGGCCAAAACAACCTTCCTTGGAGAAACGATAATCTTCAAATTGTGAGTATTTAGGGTTAATTGATTGTTATAATTGGGTTTCCATTGATTTGGTAATTAGAGGAGATGACAATGGGGATGGGTATGTGTGGGGTGTGGTGGATAGAGAAGAAGATGATTGTTTTTTTTTTTTAATTTTTTATATAAAAAATGTAAAGTTACTCATTTGCCCTTTAAAAATTAGTCAACAATTGGTCAGAAATTTGATTTTTGGTCAACTAACTATTTCTGTCAATTTGGACTCTATGTGCGAATTGTTTAAATGTTTGGTAACATGGATAATACAAATGAAATGTTTGGGCAAAGTCTGCAACTAAATGAAATGTTTGGTACCGTAACTACAATTTTCCCTTATATGAATCGATGTTTTGTAACAAAAGATTCTATCAAGCGTGTGCATGTGCGCGCGCGTGTGTATTTATATTTAATATATAAATTCTCATATGTTTCTCCTTTTGAATTATAAATATATTATGACTTTGTTTCATCTCCATTTTTTTCAAAATACATTTTTTCTTCTTTTGAACCTTACATTTTTTTAATAAAATAGTATTACACAGAA